CCCCAGCCTCCTTTTCCAGCCTCCCTGTCCCCTGTGCCTATCCTTTGTACTGTCTTGCCCTTCTGCTCTGGCTCTTTTGCTTCCTTTCTGCTGCTTCACTGGGTCCATCTGTGAAGGGAGGAAATCAAGAGGTTACTAACCCCAGGTTCAATCTACTTTCCAATTTAGGTTAAGAAGAAGAAAAGGATTTATAAGCTTTGATTTGGCTGAGAAATTGCTACCTGCAATTAAAGCATCAGGTTTTTAAATTTGCCAGACTACGCTTTCTTTAATTTTTCTGCAGGTCATTATATCAGTGTGGGTTGTGATGTGCTAGATTTGAGTGTCAGCCTTTTCTGTGAGCTAGTGAGCCCCTCAGCTCCCTGTGCTCTAGGAGGGCTGCATGTGGACTTGAGATGGCACCACCCACTGCCTACAGCCCCTACAGTACCCTGCCGTTGTTGCCATTTGAGTGTGGTGTTCCTCATGCCTTCATGTCCAACACTTCCAGGTGTTTTTCCACCTATTGTGTTTGGAAGTCTCAGTCACTCTCGTGAGAGCAGTCCTATAAACATGAGGCTGAGAAGCAGTTTGTGGTAAGCACCTTGTCTCATGGCTGTTGGCATTCTGCTGCACATGTCACGTCAGACTGAACTGTGACTGGAGTTACGCAGGACATCCCAGGAGGCAGAATAAGTATGTTGGAGTGAGGCTTGGGTGCAGTCAGAAGGCTGGGCTCCAGGCCTGGCTCTGCTACCGCTGACCTGTCTCATGGGCTTTGACTGAGCCCACCGAGAACTTGACTCTGGTTTTCTGTTCTGCTAAATGGGCATGTCCTAGATCTTTACAATGTTGTGATGTTTACCTCACATTATGTCTGAAATAGAAATGACGTTTCTTGTCAAACTTTTGTTATTCTTTTAGTATTACATATTCTGCTGTAAAGTATGTATAATTTTATTCTATAATGAGTAATAATTAGTCACCTAAACTTCTAACACAGGATTTCTGCTTTTTTCCAGTAATTTTGGTCTACTGTGCTGAATACATCAATGAAATGGCGGCAATGAACTGGAGGTAAAGCCAACTCCCTGTGCATTTGACTGTTTCGTGAGTCCACCCTACAGGGTGTCACAGGGAGCATTTCATGCAGGCCACAGGACTTGCAGAGGATACAGATCTAATCACGGGACCTGCATAGACAATGAAGTACCTTTGTGCCCTAGTTTAGGGCCTGAGGAACAACTTGTTGAATGTTTTCAAGACTGGTGTAACCTTTTCCAACTGAGCCACATCTGCTGTGTGATACTGGTTTTTGAATGGCTAGTGGGCCAAAAATGATTTTTACATTTTAAAATATAAAAAAGGAGAACTGCTAGCCCCTCAGCAAGAATGAGTTGGGTCACTGCCTCATGGCTGGCAAGCCCTAGACATTTACTCCTTGGCCCTTTATAGAGAAGGTTTGCTGAACACACCCCAAGATCATTTGCTTAGGTACTTTTGCTTAGATTTAACACACCTTTCCATGACTCTGAGCCCCAGTGCCTCCATACTCAGCTCAAGTAATTAGAAAAGGGCCACACACATCCGGCTTCCTGGCCATGCTTCCCTGTCCCACCTCCTGTGGTGTGGCTGTGGGACACCACCACCGCAGCCCCCACCCCGGCACTCGCAGCGTGGCCGTGGGACATCACCTCCCCTGCGTCCTGGGCCTTTTCCTCCAGGACGGCGGCCCCATTCCCACCACCACCACGGGTGGTGCTACATCTCCCATGCCTGTCTGTATTTCGGTAAGACCTGAATCATGGCCAGGCCCTCCCTTGGCCATGTTGTCCCTGGAGCTGGTTCTGCTTGAGCTTGCACCCACCCCTCAAGAAGATGCTCTTTTCCTGGACACGTTGACCTTCATGCTCTTAGTCAGCAAATAGTCCTCAGTTCTCGGTGTACCTGACCTCGCGAGGCTGATGCAGGTGTCCTTTCTCTCGCTAAAGCCTTTGTGTCCCTGGTCTTCATCCTGGTCTCTTCCCTCCAGCTCCTCTGTTGTTGCCTTATAGTTTTCTGCTTGTGTCTAGGGTCTCCAGATGGAAGTGCGAGAGTTACTCTGCCTGCCTCACTCCCTGGACAGTCTGCTAGGATGTCTAGTAAACATCTTAAATTCACACGTTTCACACTGACTCTGTTCCCCAAAGCATCCTGCTCCATCTTTGCAGTGGCCACTTTTTTCTTGTTTCTCAGGCCAGAGATGTTCACATCACACATTCTTCAGGAAGCCCTGTTACTCTTCCTTTCAGACAGACTGTGAGCCCAGCTGTGTTCATCTCCTTTACCCTTTGCCATACCCAGATTATAGCAGTAGCCACCTGAGGCAGTGGGTTTAAAAGGCAAGCCCCTCCTCGAACATTCCAGAGGGTCCCCCGGGCATTCCAAGCAAGACCAGAGTCTTGCAATGATGTCCTGTGGCCTCCTGCTGGCTCTGTCCCAGCAGCTGTGCCTGTGAGTCCACGAGGCTCTTTCTTCCCTGTTAGTCCCTGCTCAGGGTTGTGAGTCCCCCCCCACCCATGAGCACCCACTCTCCCTCCCTAGTCTGCACTTCTCTGTAATGCAAATCACAAAATCCACCTTGGGTTGACCGTCTCTTACTTATCTGGGTCCTGTCACCCTCTAGATGGTTAGCGCCAGCAAGGCGGGAACCCCAGTGCTTGTACCTGAGTTAACCAAGTATTTGTTACTAGCTTTGTTCATTATATTTCCCACACTCTGCCATTTCCTGGCTCTGTGCCTTTGAGCAGGCTCCACCTTTCTCAGTCTCTTCTCCCGGGACAACACTAAGGCTGTCACGAACAGGAAGACGGAGGTGCCCAGCCCAGCACCTTCCTTCAGGTGACTGTGGTGTCAGTGCAGTCGTTGCCTCTTATTACTCACAGAACTTGTCATCGTTTTGCTATTTCAGTAAGACCTGAATCGTGGCCAGGGTTTCCCATCATTGGCACTAGTCTTGTGCCCAGGTCAGAACTGCTATTGACCCCAGGGGCTGCTCTGCACTGTGTCCTGTCACAGGGAGGCCTTCAGGGTTGCTCTCTGCTCCCACCACCATCTTCCCCTTGCCAAAGGGCCTCTTTCTTGGTCCTGTGACCTAGCGTGGTTTCTTCATAGTCACCGTCACATGTTGGACAACACTGTAGAGGTGGGGCAGGCTCAGTGAAGGGAGGGTGGCTGTGCCTCAGCTGCCATCAGTCTCCAAAAGTCTGTGTTAAGTAGAGTGTATCATGAAAAACTTTTGTTGTTGTTTTGTCAACTAATTTTTTTTTCTTAAAACAGGTTATTTTCAAAATACCAGTATTTTGATTCCAGGGGGATGTTCATTTCCATAGTGTTTTCAGCCCCACTACTGCTCAATGCCATGATCATTGTGGTATGTATACGACGGACTCTTAAAATGGCTTTCTTTATATGTTTTTAAAATCTAAACATGTCTCAAAACTATTGTTTTCAGATTATGTGGGTCCGTAAGACTTTGAATGTAATGACTGACCTGAAGAACTTACAAAAGAAAAGAAAGGAGAAAGGAAGAAGAAAAGAAGAGTAATGTGGTCCAGCTGCGTTGGGGTTCTGTGCCGGTTCCTTCTCGCTCACGTTGTTTCCAATGTCAAAGTGGTGCAGGCATCGCTCTTAGCACCTGGCCATGCATTTGAAAAGTGGTCCTTTTATTTTGATATCCACTGTGATAGAGCACACGTTGAAGTCAGCTTTTAAGACAAGCACCACCTGTGTCCATCAGGATGTCTGTAAAACCTGGACCGTCTTCATTGTGCTCGGGGTCTTTGCAGTCACACTGTGGTCTGGTCTCGCCACAGTGCTTCATAATTGGAAGTTTGAAGAAGCTCACATCATTTATGCAACTAGTATTAACTGTGGAGTTGTTGGTCAATATTAAATACATGAAACTCAGTAGTAAGCGGTGCCGTCTTGCTTGTGGGCCCCACCCTTACTCATCCTGCTGTGCTTTCTAGCTTGCGGCAGCAGTAGTCAGAGGAGGGCGTTTTTGCCTTCTGGGATGCAGGGCAAAGTTTGGTGACATTTTCACTTGTCACTGGAGGAGGAGGTGCTCCTGGCAACTAGGGGGTAGAACCCGTAGGTGCTGCTAAACCTGCCACGGTGCACAGAGAATGGACCATCCACGACCATCTGACAGAATGTCCACAGTGCTTGGGTTGAGAGAGCTTTGAAGCAGTCTTGAAAAATACATTGTATCTCCATCCAATGAACCAGGCCCAGTGAAGCTAGTTCCTCTCAAAGTTAGGGGCCACTTCACTAAAATTTTTAGTTAAGAATATTAAACTAGAATGAGAACCATAAAGTCAGGATTCCACGAAAAGAAGGCATTGAATGAGCCCTTTGATTTTGTGTTTCAGGAAGCAAAATTTCAGGAATATTCAATAATTTAACTGTTTCAACTGGTACATGTTCATGGCAAATACAAAGATTGACTATGTTCTTAAGTGGCACATTGCTCTGTTAGGGTTTGTGTGCTCAGAAACATGATGCTGTCAGTTCTGTTGGGACAAGTTTCCTGTTACTTTGTAATATCTGCTTCATAAAATAGCTCCTGTCCAGTACACTGTTGGTTCCTGTCAAATCTAGAGCTGCAGCTTGAGGCTGACAGCTGGTTAGAGACCCAACATTCTAAAAGTCGTTGTTTAATAAAGGGAATGCAACTGATCATTGCATCTGATAACATGCCCAATTGTGCATTTCTGAAAGCTACCAATGCAGGGTGTTTAATGGGATTATAGCTTCGGGAGAGTTCAGAGCACCACAAGTTCGTTTCACAGTGAAAAGGGACATCAGTTATACTTGAACATACAGGCTAGGAGAGACTGAGGAGGTGTGGAGCTCACCAGCTAGGGGGCTCTCCTCTCAAGTCTTGGTGGCCAAGGCTGAAGACGAAAAGTGAACAGGAAATTTGTTGTGGTAATTCCTGGTCCAGGCTTCGTCCAGGGTGCTGTGTAGGTGTTTGCCTTTGTTAGCCCAAAAGAAGCCAAGGACATTGCAGATACTGTACACGCTTAGTATGACATTTTCACCATCTATACATTATATAAACTATTTAAACGGGGGGCCACCTGACTGAATCTCAGCCTTTCCATGATAAAGAGCGTAATAATATTGCCAGCTTTGCATTGACTTGATGTTAATGACTGGTATCGTCGTGAAACCATCACAGGTGCTGTATGGTTTGTGTGTGTGTGTGTGTGTGTGTCTTTGTCTTGAAACAGCTATGTTTTGTTTTCACAAAAACAAACATCACTTTATTTTTAACTTCAATAAGTTCATGTTCAGTGGGCCTTAAATTGCAGTGTTAACAAGTATCTTAGAATATTGTTGTCCTCATGCTAGGGAAAGTCCTACAAACCAGAATTACCAGTAGTTGTGTAATTTATAAAAATGTGCAGATGTAATACCACTATAAGGAGCTAGAGGGTGTATGGAACATACTGAATTCAAGCTCTATAAAAATGAAAGTGAAGGGAGGGACCTCAAGAAACTTAGAATAAATTTAGTTCACATTTTGCCTCAGAATAGCCATTTTTTTGCTTAGACCAACACGCTTTGAATCTAGCACAGGTTAGACATAGATAAATTTTCAATAGTCAGGTTTTAGGAAACATTCAGAAATCTCAGGTTCCTTGTCAAAGATCACCCCTTAGCAGGCTGAAGACATAGACATACTAGACCATCTTTTTGCTAAGGAGTTTGTGGATTGCAAATGTCTGACAGGTCTCTTGCAGGAAAACCCCCTCCACTTGTCTCCTCCCATCTATCCCACCACCATGGCAGCACTCCTGTGACTAACCCACCCAACTGCCTGCTGTCCATCAATTGACGTCAGTACCTGTGCTTACCTGCCTTATGATGATGTGGAGCAGACCACCACCCAATCACCTTAATGACCTTCCCACATCAAAGGGAAGGGCTAAAAGGACTCAACCATGAGCAATCATTCGCCATTGCAACCATTGCCTTGCTAAGCTATGGTGTGGTCATGTGCTCTTTGAGTTATGGCCAGTCCATATTTCCTAGCTTTGTCCCCCTCCCCTACCTTGGGGAAGTCAATCTCCTCTTTCTTGCTCTCTAATTTACTTTATAAATAAACTATATTTTCCAATCTAGCTTCTGTGCAATTCTTTTCATCTTTCATATAGCACCGTATCACACACCAGACACTCCCAACGCTCCCAGCAGGCCTGATCTAACATTATGGAGGCCCCGCTAGGAGTGTGACTCTGACATTTTTGGAGGTTCCACAGAGATCTGCCCCTCGCTCACTCTCATTCTATTCCATTGAGACTTGCCACTCTCACTCTCTTTTCCAACCCCAGTATCTCTGTGGCAAAAGATAAAATGCTGGCCTATCTTCCCCGTGACTCGCTCTTAATCTTATGGGCCTGCAATGAGCTATATTGAATGGACCTCTCCCTGTTGCCTCAACCTTATTCAGTATGAAGTAACATCTCCAGTGAGTCCTATTGTTTATCCGGTCAGGAAGGAAGTCCTGGAAGCCACTCTGAGAGACTGCTCTTTTTTTTCCCCTTTTCTCGTTACTCTGGGAAGCATGTTCCTGGGGTCTGGGACCCTCTGTGGAAAAGACTGGGTGCCAAGCCTCCCAAACGTGGTTTGGAACACCCCTAGCACTGGGATCTGGAGCCCTCACCTGCTAAGACACTATCTCTGGTGGGTTGAGGAGACAGAAGATGCTCTATCTCACTTGATCTCACACACACAGGCTGATTCAGCTGACCCTCCGCGTGGGACACTGACTAAGGGTGTGGATGGTTTTATTCTGGGGCCTGGGGCCCTCTGCGTTTTATTTTCGCCCCATGTTGGGAATAGGTGGTGGATGGTCTTTTCACAGTAATTCCACCCCGCTTCATCTGGGATGCCGGACTTAGGCGGTGGATGGTCTAATTCCACCCTGTGGTGGGCATAGACACTGGATGTGTAATTCTACCCGCTGCTGGACATAGGCAAATAGATGGTCTTATCTCCTTTGGGCCTCTCAGATGCGGTTCTTAGGAAAAAAGACTGACCATTGGCATGTCTTTTCATTCTAAAATGTCTCAGGACCCTCTCGCTAAAGGGGACCATCTGCCCTAATGTCTCCTCAATACTGACTAGGTGGCCAGGAAGGAGATGGGCCCAGGGTGAGTGTCTTACCTCTGGTGGTCTCCTTCAACTTGACCTCTATTGACGCCACAAGGGCAAATGGTCCAAGGTTTGCAAAATGGCATCACTGGGACACCTTGTTCTTCCTGTGGCACTGCCACACTCCTTTGATTACTTTATCTCCTTCCTGTTCCCCTCTAACAACTCAGATGCTGACCCAGCTAGTTTCACTTCTCCTGTCTCTCACAATCTGCTTCTGCCACTCCGTGAGTTTCCCTTCCTGCTCTTCCTTCTCACCCTCCACCTCTACCTGCAGAGGAGGGGCCGGCGCCAATGGCCAGGGTGCCCAACCCATGTAAGGCAGTGTACAAAACCGAGTGGCTTTAGATATTCCTACCGCGTCTCAAGGAGGCACATGTGCCATTATCCCCTCCCCTGCTGCCTGATCACCACCACCACCACCCACAGCTCTACTAGCTGCAAGTCAAACCACAGTCTGCTTTTCCAAACCAGACTCGCAAGTGCTCTAGTAAAATCTTAACTTGCAACTTTACCATGTCCAAGAGCAGTGCTAAATAACTCCAGCGTTTGTAATATCAGGCACGCAAAAGTTGTATTTCACAAAAGGAAAGTCAAGTCACCTTGCTGTGCCTGTCTAGCTCCCCTTCCACCTTCAGAACTGGTAACACTTGAATGCCAGTTACCCTCTGCATACACTTTACTGAGCCTGGTCATTCTCCTGCCAGACAAATACTAGGTACACTCTGTAGCACTGTTATGGTCTGAGTAATGCTCAGCTGCTCCCTTTGATACCCGTAAATCAGAGGGGCAGACAACTGTAGAAAGAAGTTTATTTCTGAATTTGAATCCAGAGAGCAGAGTTGGACTCGTCTTTCTAGGATGGTTCTGCCCGCCCTTCAGGCCTCGCAGTCCACTTGTATAGTCCAGAGTTGTCAGTACATCAGCCACGTGACCGGCAGAGCCTTGTATAGAACTTAAGTTACAGCTGCATTTTACATTTAGAATAAAGGAAGTTTACAAGGCCTAAAACGTCATGCAAATCACAAGACTTACAATTACATTGATACTATATAGCTCAAAAAAAGGGAGTAAATAGGGATTTGTATCTTGGGACATGGTCTGCAAGGAAGTCAAGAATCCCCTGAAGCTACTTACTGGGAGTGCACTGAAGACAAGGGGACTTTCAGTCATGTGCTCAGGAATGTGCAGGAGCCCTAGAATCCCCCCATGCCCTTCTCTAGGGGCTGTGGTAACATGAAGCGACATTAGTGGGTTTCTGTATTATTTCCCCATTGTCAGTTGAGACCATGAGATCTGTCATGGGTGTAGCTATGTCATGCTGCCTTAACATAAATGGTGCATGTAGTTCTTTCCCTCCCTCAGCCAGTTTTCATGCTTTATAGGCTTAGTTATGAGCACATGAATTTTAACAATGCATTGGATACAAAGTGTGATGGCCAAATATGTTAATAATGCTATTATAAACATAGCCAGAAAGAACTTCCCCATGCCTGAAAGGAGGCCCTGTAACCCTGATGGGAGCCAAGGAAACATGTTGGAATACCAGAGACCTTTATAGGCACCTCCTTGGTGTAAGCATCTGTATCACCTATAGCATTAATGCTGGCTTTCATTTGACTTAGCATTGCGGTGATATTCCTTGATTCATCAGGGTTAAAAGTGCAACACTCAGTATAGATAATGGCACTTGTGCCTCCTTGAGACGCAGTAAGAATATCTAAAGCCACTCGGTTTTGTACACT